CCAAATGCAAAAAAACATGAAGTTTGGGGAAGGGCAAAGAAGCCACAAAACCAAATTTGTCTATGGCCAAAAACTGCAAACCTACCAAGGAAAAAGATTGGGGGGGAGTTAAAACCCCACACATTCCTGAGGCGCACACGTCCCTAAATGCTGCAGCAACGGGGTCGGGAAAAACCCACGGGTAGCGTTCCGATATCTCGTAAGGGGAAACTTCAAAAACTCTATATACCCTTTTAAACGGCCCCCACTGGGTATGCGCCCAGTTTGGAATCCAAACGGCCAAGCCTCAAAAAATTAGAGAAAGTGCAAAAGGGTTTTCAACAAGACTATCCCAGAGCTAAGGGGGGTTGTCCCACGAAGAAAGGTTTAGGGAAATGGGCCCGACGACACTGGAGGACAGGAGGGTCAGGGGAGACATGATAACGACATATAAAATACTGCGCGGAATAGACAAGGTGAACAAAGACGGGATGTTCCAGAGATGGGACACAGAAACAAGAGGTCACAATTGGAAGTTGAAGACTCAGATGAATCAAAGGGATGTTAGGAAGTATTTCTTCAGTCATAGAGTAGTCAGGCCGTGGAATAGCCTAGAAAGTGACGTAGTGGAGGCAGGAACCATACATAGTTTTAAGGCGAGGTTTAATGAAGCTCATGGAGCAGGGAGAGAGAGGACCTAGTAGCAATCAGTGAAGAGGCGGGGCCAGGAGCTATGACTCGACCCCTGCAACCACAAATATGTGAGTACAAATAGGTGAGTACACACACACACACACACACACACAGACTGCAAACCTCACTCAAGGAGAAAGATCTTGGGGTGAGTATAACACCGAGCATGTCTCCGGAAGCACACATCAATCAGATAACTGCTGCAGCATATGGGCGCCTGGCAAACCTGAGAACAGCATTCCGATACCTTAGTAAGGAATCATTCAAGACACTGTACACCGTGTATGTCAGGCCCATACTGGAGTATGCAGCACCTGTTTGGAACCCGCACTTGATAAAGCACGTCAAGAAACTAGAGAAAGTACAAAGGTTTGCGACAAGGTTAGTTCCAGAGCTAAGGGGAATGTCCTATGAGGAAAGATTAAGGGAAATCGGCCTGACCACACTGGAGGACAGGAGGGTCAGGGGAGACATGATAACGACATATAAATACTGCGTGGAATAGACAAGGTGGACAAAGACAGGATGTTCCAGGGAGGGGACACAGAAACAAGAGGCCACAATTGGAAGTTGAAGACACAAATGAGTCAGAGAGATAGTAGGAAGTATTTCTTCAGTCATAGAGTTGTAAGGCAGTGGAATAGCCTAGAAAATGACGTAGTGGAGGCAGGAACCATACACAGTTTTAAGACGAGGTTTGATAAAGCTCATGGAGCGGGGAGAGAGAGGGCCTAGTAGCAACCGGTGAAGAGGCGGGGCCAGGAGCTAGGACTCGACCCCTGCAACCACAAATAGGTGAGTACAAATAGGTGAGTACACACACACACACACACACGAAGGGGGGAGGGAGGTGGCACAGAATCTGTAACTAAAACTCCTGCAACCACAAAAACACTGTTCTTTCAAAAATTCTGTTGTTACACAAAAAATCGCAACCTCACACAGAAAACACAAACAAATCTCCAATTAATCTTAATGGGATGACGGACTGCGCTGAAGCTTACCTAGCAAGCTACTTCACAAGGAGTGTATACTGTGATCTACACTGCCACCATATTTCACTCAGGAAGCCTGCATGTAACATTCCTCTCGAATTACTTGACTGACTTTTCGTAATTAGGGGGGTCAGTTTTCCATGAAGAGAAGTGGCAGCTGCAAGTCACACTGAACAACATCTAGTGAACACTGGACACTTATCAAGGCGAGTCCTCAGTGACACCTAGTTCCTGGGTCCATTACCACTGATCACTGAACCAGTGGGGCCTTGGCATGAGAGTGAACACACAACACCAGGTTGTGACACTTGACAGGCTCTAGAATACAATGGTGACACTCGTGTCGTCTACTAACACCATCAATTTCAATCCAGCTCGTACTCGCCTTGTACAGAATTATGAACTGCGGTCTATTTAAAGAACAAGGCGAGGAAATGACTTTACCTTCACTCCAGGTGTGTACATGTACCTGGGGTCCTACTGGTGTCTTAGGCTCGTGGTGACATCAGGACAGGACACCAATCAAGTTATGTCCTATTTACTAATGAGAGCTGTCATATCCGAGTGTCTTTAACTCATATATAGTGGACAATTATTACGCTAGTCGTGTACTACACTTGTGAGCAAGAGTCCGTATATAAAAAGTGGCTTCTGGCTACGCTTAGGAATCCATAATTGAGTCTTGCATGTACTTAATGAATCAGTTACATTTGAGAACATGATAGAGGTGTCGGGTCTTCTGTCACTACCTTAGGAAGATATGCTAATTAGGTTGGCTCTCTGATGGAGAAGTCACGATACACACCCATGATCTTTCCCTTCTGTGTTTTACAATGCCCCAGGTATTCAAAAACACAGCCTAGCTTACATAGGCTGGCTCAACTCCGGGGTTCTCTTACCAAACTGCTGACAGTAGTGAGAGTTAATCTCTCTCCATATGTCACAACGTCAGTCATGATAACATTCATAATACTCAACAATGCTCTCAGACCTAGTGAACAACGGCCACAAGATCTTATATCACAGGTGTCCCCTGAGTTTATAGGTGACATCTAGAACGTGGCCCTCTTTTGGCATGAATATCATCTCTCAGAATGGTATGAAAAGTGCTACACAACCCTTGGGAAGATCATACCCATCTCCTCCACTCATCAGAGAGGGAGTGTAACAATGTAATACTGACCAATCTGGTACTCCTAGGTTTTGTCAGACATGGGAAGAATAGATCTACTCACTCTAGAATAATTTAGACACACGGAGGTTTCCAAAAGATCCTCACAGCAATTCAGCAGCAGTCATTCAAATAACTAAATACAATCAGTCCTACATCTACCTCTAATGTTAAAATTTAATTTGCACCAGTAGTGCAATAAAGGACCTCAATGGAAATAAGTTACTCTGACTTTTTTTGGGTTATCCCAGGTTCTCTACACATATGCTGCTATGTATGATAATCTATGTAACTGTATTTGTATATACCTGAATAAACTTATTTATTAGCTGACAGCAGAGTCCCCTAAATGTTGTTCTCCTTAGGGCCCCTGGACCTCCAAATCTGCTTCTGCCAGTTTATAGTCTCTTGTAAAACTATCACTGATAATAATCAGATAAGCATTATTCATTTATTAACTGCCATTATTATTATTTTTATTTATATCCAGTACATAACCATTAACCCAGTATGATGGCCTAAAGAAGGAAAAGACATTCACCATCATTCATTCCATAACTGCCTTTCCAGATAAGCAACGATAGCACAAATCCAGTAGTGCACGAAAACATATCACCACGACCCATCCTGTAGGTCCCAGCTTCAGAACTCTGGCTCATAGACATTGTCTTGCTCACACTCCAACAGCACATCAAATCCTCCCCCTCCCCTCCCCCCCCCAAAAAAAAAAAATTCTGCCCTTATTTCGATCTAATATTTTCACATGCCTGCTGGATGCTCAAGTTTTTACCAGAGAGACCTCTGCTTTCTATCCTTAATTCACACATCTAGATAACACATAAGAGTCCTTAAGGGGCACATCAGTTCTTCCTCTTTCTAATAATATGTTATTTTTCCCTTATAATCTACCTTGTCCATAATTAATATCTCATTTGTTTTGTCTGCTTTCGTAAGGTGAAGTCTGAGCTTTGCTTAGACCTCTACAACACAAATGTCCTCAAACATTTGCCCTAAATGCCTAGGCATGATAGTGGCTATCTTTGTACTTAGCAAATCAACATTGTAATTACACATTGTCACCTTTACAAAGAATAAACCTCACTTTACCTTACTTTACTAAGTTATACCCCCATGAATTGAGGAAAGATCCTGGACTTCACCTAACGAAAGCAGACAAAGCAAATGCGATAGTAATTATGGACAAGGTAGATTGTAGGGGAAAAAAATAACATATTAGAAGACAGGGGAACTGACGCGCCTTTTAAGCTAGGTAACAATGTAGTTCTTTCCAGTAGAGAGTCTTGGTGTGGACTTCCAAGTTCTATGCTGTCTGTCTTTCCCGTGCAATAAAAATATCATTCATCCCTCCCTTCCGACTCTTTCTAGGACGTCCACTCCCTTTCGGCTCTTTCTAGGATGTCCCCTCCCTTTCAACTCTTCCTAGGTCGTCCCCTCCCTTCCATCTCTTCCTAGGACATCCCCTCCCTTCAAGGTGAGCGATTTGATCCTCGTGACATAAGGAATAAGAGTTATTTACGTGCCAGTACGCAAGTACTGTATGTTAAGACTTTCCCATCACATTCCAGCCACTCAAAACTTATACACCCGCGTCTCATTACTGTCTAAATGTTCAAGCAATTTCCAGAACTCTTCATCCAGTGAGTCACACATTTCATACCATCACACACTCTTCTAAATTATTTACGCCTTATATTCCACATAATATTCCACATCTTCAGTGTGTCGTCTCGTCGCTGCGACATTCCAAGACAAGGCCTCACACACATACAAAAGTGTTGGTATAATTATATTTTTTTCCATCAGTTCCCGAAATCTCCAGGAATTATTAAGGCACTTGTGGCAGAACAAGTGTTTATTACACAACATTTAGCTCGAAGGATTTTTAAAAATCTAACCCTTGAACGAAAAGGTATCTAATAAAGGTGTCCTTTGAATTAAATGTTGTGTAATAAAGGTCTCCGTTAAGCTAAACGTTGTGTAATGAAGGTCTCCTTCGACCTAAACGTAAACGTTGTCTAATAAAGCTCTCCTTTAAGTTAAACTTTATTTAATAAAGCTCACCATTAAGTGAAACTGTCTAATACAGGCTTGCTTTATTACCCTACCTGTCATTAATTCGCCTTGCAATTATTCTTGGCTAGGTGTTGAAGATCGCAGCAGAGAAAGAAGTGGTGGTGTCGGCTGGCGCCATCGGCTCGCCCAAACTACTACTGTTGTCTGGTGTGGGTCCCAGCCAGGAGCTACTGCGTCACAAGGTGCGTGATTTGGTTGTCCACTTATGGGAGCGTCCTTTATGACCGTGATGGTCTGGTGATTGAGTCCACCAACAGTATTTTACAAGGCGAATCCTACAGTCACAAACTTTTTATACTGGAGGTACAGGTAATTTACACATGTATGATAATTGTACTTATGTGTACCTGTGCCCAAATAAAAGTTACTTGCTTAGTTAATGGCAAGAAGAAACGTGGACTAGGAAAAATAAAAGTCATGGATCACCTATGAGCAAGCTTCCTTTCTTTTTTGGTCTTGTTCTCAAAATCCATTTCTTGCCTTTGTTTCCATTTATCTACTACACATTGTTCTCCGCCTCTTGTAAGCCCTACACCATGTTTACACATCCAGTAACTCCCTGGGCTTTAATGTTAATCCTCGAGCACATTGCTCTGTATTCCTCCGCCTGTCTCCAAACTTTGTCCTACTGACATCTCTGGTTGAGTCACACACTTTTTGTTTCCTTTCTTTGTTTTTGATTCAAATTTCACAACTTCTTAAATTTCAGATTTAGAGTATTTCTTGAGGTGGCTTTACTCTCCATTTCCTATTCAAGGTTCACTCTTCTCAGAAACCTCTATATCCTGTCAGTCTCTCTGCCTGATACCTTAATTAGTATTCCTGTTACTTTCACCTTCCCATCCATCAAGGGGGGCCTTGATTGTAAAATGCTTTTGGTTCAAGGAGTTGGACATAAACATGATTACATGCCATTCTCCAAGTATTCTTACATCTACGGATTCAGAACTTTAATTTTTCCCATCTCTTCTTTATCTTCACGTCAGTATTTCAAATTTCAGCGGTGTAGGGTTGCTAGCACTTACTGGCTCTCCAGATTATATAACAAATTCAAAATTCAAAGTTTATTCTCTATAAAGATTACAATCTTGAATTTACAGAATTTGGTTGTTGTGTGGTTTAAATGTAGTTAAATAATGATTACAGAGTGTACCACTAGAACGCCTAGCATGGCTAGGCATTTCGGGCAGACTTAGTTTAATTCTTTATTTTAAAATATTACAAATTATGAGGTAAGTTGGTATTATGGCTAAGTGACTAAATACTAGTTTGTGAGTTTAGCAATGTGAATGCTTTTGTTTTGGCACAGTACATAGTTTCAGTATTGGAGTATCATAGGATTCATTATTTTAAGACTGAGATTAATATTTCTGCTTATGGTCAAATGGGTGAGTGAGTGTAAGTGTGAACCACCAGGTGGTATTCGTGTAGTTAGTTGATGGGGTGTATCAGGGAGATAAGATGTTTTCTAATGGTAGTTTTGAAGGTGATGAATGTGTCTGCAGTTCTAGAGTTCTCAGGTAGGGTGTTCCAGATTTTAGGGCCTTTGACATACATTGAATTTTTGTAAAGGTTTAGTCGGACACGGGGAATGTCGTAGAGATGTTTGTGTCTGGTGTTATGCCTGTGGGTTCTGTCACAACTATCAAGAAAGCGTTTTAGGTCAAGGTTGATATTGGAGTTTAAGGTCCTGTAGATGTAGATTGCACAGTAGTAAGTGTGGATGTACTGAACAGGGAGTAAGTTTAGATCTATGAAGAGTGGGGGGGGTGTGTTGCCAGGGATGGGATTTAGTGATTATTCTTACTGCAGCTTTTTGTTGGGTTATTATTGGCTTTAGGTGTGTTGCTGCAGTTGATCCCCAAGCACAAATAGCATAGGTGAGGTATGGATAAATGAGTGGTATAGTGTGAGAAGGGCATTTTGCGGCACATAGTATCGTATCTTGGAGAGGATCCCAACCGTTTTGGATACTTTTTTGGTTATGTGTTGGATATGGGTGCTGAAATTCAGGTTGTTGTCAAGGAATAGGCCTAGGAATTTGCCCTCATTATGTCTGGTAATTAGTGTTGTCGATCTTAATGTTAATTTGTGCATCTCCTGCTCTGCTACCAAACATAATATAGTAGGTTTTGTCAGTGTTAAGCGTAAGTTTATTGGCTGTCATCCAAGTCGATATTTTGATCAGCTCCTCGTTAACAATGGTGTTGAGGGTGGCAAGATTAGGGTGAGAGATGACATAATTCGTGTCGTCACCAAAGAGAATGGGTTTCAGGTGTTGGGATACGTTTGGAAGATCATTGATGTATATGAGGAAGAGCAGGGGACCAAGGACACTTCCCTGCGGAACTCCAGTATCAAGTGGCCGTGTTGTTGATGCTGTGTCTTTAATGGTGACACACTGATACCTATTAGTAAGGTAAGATTTGAAATAAGCAAGCACATGGCCTTTTATACCGTAATGGTCAAGTTTGTGAAGTAGGATGTCGTGGTCTACTGTGTCAAAAGCTTTTCTTAGGTCAATAAAAATTCCTAGTGGATATTCCTTATTTTCCAATGCTGTGTAAAGCAGATCTAGCATTTTTATGATTGCATCATTAGTGCTTTTATTTTTCCTGAATCCAAATTGGCAGGGGTTGAGTATGTTTTGTGTTGTTATAAATGAACATAGTCTCCTGTGCACGAGTTTCTCAAAGATTTTGGATAGCAATGGTAAGTTTGATATTGGCCAATAGTTGTTTAAGTCTGTAGGGTCACCACCTTTATGTATTGGTGTAACCCTTGCCAACTTGAGTAGTTTCGGGAAGGTGCTAGTTTCTAGTGACTTGTTAAAAAGTAATGAAATAGCATGCGAAAGGATATGGGCCGCTCGCTTGTACAGTAATGGTGGGACATTAGACAGATTCCCTGAGTTGTTTTTAAGTGACTTTATAATCTCGGTGACTTCCGAGGGCTCAGTTGGTGCAAGATAGAAGGAATTTGGGAAATTCCCATCTAGGTAGTCCCCAGCATGGGCATTGGTATGTGGGATTTTATTGGCGAGATTAGATCCTATGGTTAGAAAGAAGTCGTTTATCTTGTTAGCTGTGTCAGTGGGATGTAGTGGTGTTTCATTAGGTTTAGTTAGGACAATATCTTGTTTTTTTTTCAGTTTGTGGGTCCCTAGAATCTGAGAGAGTGTTTTCCAGGTCTTTTTTATATCTCCTCTAGTGTCTGTGAATCTACTGGAGTAGTATAGTTGCTTGGCTTTCTTTATTACTTTGGTGAGAACTGATGAATAGTGTTTAAGAATATCTTTGTGTATTAAGCCCTGTCTATATTGCTTTTCATATTGGTGTTTCTTGTCAATGGATTTCAGAATGGTACTGGTTAGCCATGGGCAACCAAGCCGTTTGTTTGTGATCTGTTTCGTTTTTATAGGGCAATGTTGTATAGTCTAAGTAATTTGTTAAGAAAAATGTCTGTCCAGTCATCATTACCATTGGCCTTGGAGAATTCTGTAGGCCAGTCAACAATCTCTAGGTCAGCTGTGAACTTCCTTATTGAGGCCTCGTCATGGAGTCTAAATGAGACTTTGTTGAATTCAAGTGGTGGTTTACTAATGTTTGTCAGGAGGAAGGTAGGGTAGTGGTCTGTAGTGCTATCTGTGATTATCCCTGATTTAAGGGGGGCTAGTATATTGGTCCATATGTGGTCTATTATGGTTGCACTTGTCTCAGTGAGCCTGGTTGGTTTAGTTATTGTTGGTATGAGAAGTGTGTTGTTCATATTGTTGATAAAATCAGTTACAGGCTGATCATCTAGTAAGCCAAGGTTGATGTTAAAGTCTCCAGCTAAGAGAAGGTGGTGCTTATTCATTGTCGTTTGTTATTAGTGACTTTAATTTCTCACTGAAATTTGGGATGTTTGTGTGAGGTATCCGGTAAATGGCACCGATTGTTATAGGCGTCTTAAGGTTTTTTACAGTAAAATTAGCAAAAATGTATTCCCCATATTCATCACTAGAGCAAGTGGTGCTAATACAAGATAATTGGTTAGAGTAATAGACTGCAATACCACCCCCAACTTGGTTTGGTCTGCAGTTGTGAATTGCTGTGTATCCTGGTAGAGGGTAGATATCTATTGTGTCCTGCTTAAGCCAGGTCTCAGTAAGAATAATGCAGGAGAAGGGTGTCTTTAGTGATTCAAGGAGTGCCAGGTCATCATAGTGTTTGCTTAAGGACCTGATGTTTTAGTTAAGTACTGATAGACTTTTAGCATTGTTTAGGATAGTGCTGGCTTGTGATGCTGTGTAGTAAAGGCAGTTACAAGAGCAATTATCAACTGTTTCCCACTTATTCACGTAGCTGCAAGGTCTTGGTATGCAACTTTAACATCTGAATTATGACAGGCTTCATGTTCACCGCTTCCCGCTCCATGAGCTCTATCATACCTCTTCTTAAAGCTATGTATGGATCCTGTGGATGTGTGTGTGTGTGTGTGTGTTATACCAGAGAAGTTAGAGAGGTTATTGAGCACATAGCTATATAATCATCGATTCATTTTCTATTTATTCTTGTTGAATATTAATTAGACTATAGGTAAACTTAGTTAAATTTATAATATACTACATGCTAAGTTATGGATGAACGGAGTCAACTAGTGCCATTTAGTGCTAATAAATGGTGATAATCTTTATTCTGAGAGAAATAAAAGAAAAATAGTGAAGTTAGGTTGTGTGTGACAGATCCAAGTGGTAGCGGACGTGCCTGGAGTTGGCCAGAATTTTCACGATCACATTGGAGTGAACGGTTTAACATGGACCACTCCTGGAAGTTCACTTAGCCTGGTGGCTCAGACTCTGGCCGCCTTTCCTCAATACCTCATCAACAAACAAGGTCAGTAGCTAATCTTCAACTTTTATTTATTTTCATATAACACTTCCTAAATAAGACTTATCATTGGCATGTACACCTAAGAAGGTAAACACTGCTCACCTTAAACAATTCTTACCTTCAAAATTTAAATATATCTTTCTCTGAATAACTAAAGTGTAAATAACACTTGTTAATACTCAGTAATAACCCACATGGAGACACAAACTCAGGAGATTAATTGATCTGTATATTTCCTCCCACCGTTGGATCCTCTTCAGCAGATACAGAAGTGAAAGGAGAACATGAATTTGTGTATCTGCTGAAGAGGATCCCAAAAGTGGGTCGAAATGAAAAGATCAATTAATCCTGAGTGTCTTTCTCCGTGTGGATTGTTATTGAATATATCTATTACCTGTATTAACTGTACAATGTACATAACATTCTGAATCTTTGCTATTAATGTCTCAGTGAATTTAATCCTAGTATAGTAGAAATCCAAACTTCAAACAGAAGACAGAAGCATTTACCGCACTTAAGTCTATACTGGGATATACAAAACTGCAGTATCTTTTAACTTAACTCGCCTAGTAATAAGTAATATATTTTAATTACTAATGGGTCATCTAAATTATTAAGACTGGTGTCAGGGCGCACTTGTCCTGTTTCCTAATCAATAAAATAATAATTCATATGGATAAGATTAAAATAAATCTGATTAGCTGTTAAAAGTATTTTATCGCTAGAATTTCCTCATTAGTAATATTTCTTGACATGCTAATTAATAATATAGCAAACGTTAAGTTCTAAACAAGAAAGGGCCATATATAAGTGTGCAGAGGTAGGTATTAGTGGAGGCAGGGGATAGTGCAAGAGTAAAATATATATCAGAGTTCCTGCAATAATAATAATAATAATAATAATAATAATAATAATCTTCATTTCTACAAATACATGATGCAACTTACACAAACCATAGCTAACATCAGTGACATACTATATAGAAAGCTCCTAGTTATGCAGAGCATTTAGGTTAATTTTGTTCAATGGCGTCAAGACCGATAGCGTGTCAGCGTGCCTCGTTGTGCTCCTGGTTTTCTCGTGTTTTCACGGTCGCTCTTACGTGCTAGAACTTTAATTTGTGTCATCAATCCTATACGATACATCCCTCTAGCGCCTGGAACCAATCTTGGGCGTAAAACATTATATACTGAGTCAAAAAAGGAGAATTAGTGTTCACTACCTAGCAGAGTTTACTGCCAGAGGGGAATCATAGGCCTGTGTCCCGTGTGAAAAAAATAATAATAATTGAACTTTTCGTGTCAGAGGAAAGAAAGTCTCCCTGATAACATTGAGTATACATAGTGTATAGTGTATACTACAGTGGCTCCCTAGTATATTGATGATAAAGGCTAAAGTGTCATTTGAAAACAGGTGAATTTGTAAATGAAGTGATAAGCCTATAGAGGCAGGTGCCAGAAGTCGCCAGAATCTTACCACAGTGGTCAGCTGTTTTAATAATCTTCCTAGCCTGCTAGTGTACTCGCATATAATCTAGTGATACCAGTGAATAGCAGAATACAGTGCTGTAGTAGCAACTAACTAGTATTATAATGGTACTTGGTGGAGTGGAGTGACTTTCATTAGTTTCTTTTTTTCTTGAAATACCAGACGTATACTGTGAATTTCATATAACCTGTAGTTACCAGCGGTCGCAATATACACAACGAGAAGCAATTATTACTACAGAAAAAGCGTCCTTCCTCCAAAATTTCCACCAGTCAACTATAGTGATAATATAGCATTTATTGTGGTGGAGACGGAAAAAAAAAATAGAAAAGCTAGATACAGCGATTGATAAACAAGGGTTGAGGTCGACCTGTTCGTCATTGTAGGAGTTGCCAGCAGTCACCGGTTTCTTCAACACGCAAGTTATACTTTTGTATCAATCAAATCACATATTACTCGGGTAGATAATTTCCAGTAGATCCTTCATGTGTTAGCTCAAATCACCGACCAGTATGTTTTAAATAAGTGACCCACTGATCAGATCAATGAGTCCCCCCGACTGGTCCGAACCTTGACTGGTTTCAAACGGTTTCGTTGGACAATAAAGCAGACTGTAAAGGATGGGGTTGTAGGCGCCCTTATAAACACAAACATTAAATATAAATCAGGAACGTGCACGGTAAGCTGTCCAATATACAAAAACAGTTAGAAACAGAAATACAAATAGCTAGAGCTTCATTTAAGGAGGTTATTAATAGAATATTCAAGAGGTTGCTAGTAGAATTGCAGTAAGTTAACCATTCAAATCATTATGAAGCTGTGTGTAGTCTGTGGTCAGTCAAACAAACGGGGTTCCACATGGGTAAATTGTCATTTTTGTGGAAATTGGTGTTACGCCCCTTGTGCAGATATCCAAGAACTAGCTACAAGAAGTATTAAAACAGGGAAGTGTTTTTGGGTATGCACAAATGAGATAAATCTGTGGACTAAAATCACATTGGTATTAAAAGAGGACAACATCAAAGCTGATTTCATAGAAAACCTGGAAGCTTTCTACAACAGATGGGAACATAAAAAGTCTGGGCTGAATGGTACTGCCCTTGATACTGGCCAAGTAGTCAGAAACTGTAAGGCTGGAGATGAAGTCCTGGTAGTCAGTAAATGTGGGGCTGACAGTGCTGTCCTGGGAGACAGTAATGGTGAAGCGGGAGGTGCTGTCCTGGGAAACAGTAATGGTGAAGCTGGAGATACTGTCCTGGGAGACAGTAATGGTGAAGCTGGAGATTTTGTCCAGGTAGTCGGGAATTATACGCAGGAAGGAATACATATAAATGACCTCATAGGGGACAGGAGCCATAGTAGGGAAACAAGTGTAGTCAAAGATAAGATAAAACCAATATTGCAAACTAGAAATACCGCAGGAAATAGCAAACAAGAGGACTCCACTAGCAATAGTGAGGATATATTACCAAAAACAAATGGTGGGAGCTCCATTGTTGGTGCTAGGGAGGATAGAAGTAAGACAGGGAAACATGCACCAACAGGGAATACAGTCACAGAAACCCAAGGCAAACGGAAACCAAGCCTGTGCACATACTATGCACTTGGTATCTGCTGGCATGGGAAATCTGGAAAAACAGATGGGACGTGCAACTATGGCCACCCTAGAAAATGCCATGCCCATATGACAACAGGAAAATGCAAACTCCCTTCCTGTAAGCTTTTTCACCCTGAACTGTGTACCTCTTCAGTACAGGAAAGACTGTGCTATAACTTAAATTGCCAAGCATACCATCTAAAGGGGACAAAAGGATACAAAACATCCAGGCCATGGGAAAACCTGGGTAGCCACAGCCACTCAAGAGGGAGAGGTTTTTTAGTGCCAGGAAGGAAAAAAAAACTGGCAGGAAATGGCAGAAATCGTACACCAAATCCAGTCATTCCTGGAGTGGAACCACAGTCGATGGCCTCCACTCCAAACCAACAGATACAGATACTAATGCCGGAAAAAAAAATCCCCTCCCCAGTACCAACAGTACCACCAGTCCGATAACATTCTTCTTTGCAAATATACAGGGTCTAAAGCCAGCAACAAACAACAAAATACCTTCCATCCGTGGACTGCTTGCAGAGGCAAAGGCAATGTTCGCGGCTTTCACTGATTCCCACATAAAAGGATCACTTGGACAACGAAATATGGATCCCAGGTTACAACCTATACAGATGTGACAGAGTGAACAGGCAAAAGGAAGGGGGTTGGCCTGTACATTGCAGAGTCACTTGTTTGCACAGAACTGCTTAATGCCTTAAATGATGTAGTGGAAGTTTTAGCAGTAAAGGTTGAGAACCAAAACCTAGTCATTGTGGTAGTCTACAAGCCTCCGGATGCAACATCCCAGCAATTCCAGGAACAGCTGTTAAAAATTGACCACTGTCTGGAAAATCTTCCAGCTCCTGCACCCAACATCTTGCTCCTGGGGGATTTCAACTTAAGGCACCTAAAAATGGAGGAATGTAGCAAATAATATTGTTTCAGTAATAACACCAGGAGGCAGCTCTGATGAAAACTCACACTCACACGAGCTTTTAAATCTCTGCACAAAATTCAATTTAAACCAGCAAATAATAGAGCCTACTAGACTGGAGAATACACTAGACCTCATCTTCACTAACAATGATGATCTGATAAGAAATGTCACCATATCAAAAACAATATACTCAGATCACAACATAATTGAGGTTCAGACATGTATGCGTGGAGCCCCAGACCGACATAATGAGACTAGTCACGAGGGAGCATTCACCAAATTCAACTTCAATAACAAAAACATAAAGTGGGACCAAGTAAACCAAGTCCTAACCGATATAAGCTGGGAAGATATACTAAGCAACACAGACCCCAACTTATGCCTAGAACAGATTAACTCGGTGGCACTCGATGTATGCACAAGGCTTATTCCTCTAAGAAAAAGGAGGAGTAGATGTAAAATAGAAAGAGACAGGCGCTCCCTTTACAGGCGACGGAAAAGAATAACAGAGCGGCTAAAAGAGGTCAATATATATGAAATGCGTAGGGAGACACTGGTCAGAGAAATAGCAAGCATCGAACTTAAGCTAAAAGAATCCTTTAGGAGTCAGGAATCGCGGGAAGAACTAAAAGCCATAAATGAAATCGAAAGAAACCCAAAGTATTTCTTCTCCTATGCCAAATCAAAATCGAGAACAACGTCCAGTATTGGGCCCCTACTTAAACAAGATGGGTCCTACACAGATGACAGCAAGGAAATGAGTGAGCTACTCAAGTCCCAATATGACTCAGTTTTTAGGAAGCCGCTAACCAGACTGAGAGTCGAAGATCAAAATTAATTTTTTATGAGAGAGCCACAAAATTTGCTTAACACAAGCCTATCCGATGTTATCCAGACGCCAAATGACTTCGAACAGGCGATAAATGACATGACCATGCACTCTGCCCCAGGGCCAGACTCATGGAACTCTGTGTTCATCAAGAACTG